CATCAAGACTGCTGGTCTGGTCTGCCCTTGGCCGAAAGTATAAGGCGCCTGCTATGCAATCCAGAGGTCGCCAGTTGGAATCTGTGCAGGGACGGGCGACCTCTTAGTCCGTTGGCCCATCTGCAAACAGACCGACTTAAGCACAACAGTAGAAGCCACGGCATTCAGACTGGATCTGATCGCAGTGCGGTGGTTTGCGTGGCTTGACTATCTATGAAGCCGTGCTGGGTGCCGCCTCCTGTACTTTCAATAGTCACTTGTGTCAGATTCGTCAGTGGTTATAGACATATCTTGCCACTCCAAGTTGGGGTTAGAGCGAGGGTGACCCCTTATCCCTTGTAACGGAATCTGTAGCCCATTGACAAACTCCCGCTGTCTTGTGGTCAGGATTTTGAATCAAAGGCTTTGGTTGAGAACTCTAACCGTTCTGCCATCTGGGCCCATGTAACCTGATAGTATTCTACCCACACAGTTCACGAACTTTTTCTCAAACAGTTTCTTGATACCGTTCTGGTCACCATGGTCACACCGAGTCGCTCTGATTAGCTATTCGAGGAAACCTGTCCTACCTGATTGGTCCATCCAAAAGACAAAGTCCTATATACGGTGTAATTTCCGCCGGACACGAGATGATCACACAGCGCAGCGTACCGATATTTGTTTGTTCGTAGCGACCTTCTTGAACCTTCTCTGTTCTCTTCCATTTTTTACTTACGAATAATAGTACAGCCAAACCTTCTGTGGCGACCACCTGTCTATGGCGACCAACTATAAATGTCCCCAACATTTTCTCCCATGAGTAATGTCCCTATGCATGAACCTACCCATGGCGACCACCTGTCCAAAGTGACCACTTTCTGTCGGTCCCTTGAGTGGTCGCCTTAGACAGGTTTGACTGTATTAGATTGTGCGAGAACATTCTTTTGATGAACCGATGCGATTATTTTCCTTGATTTTTGGAAAATGACGGGTTTGATTCGTTTAGGGTTCACTGGTCCATTCGTTAGTAGGTGGTCCTTCTAACACCCCGTTTGAAGTCTACTATTGTATGATTTCAGCCCGGAGCGGCGTGGCAGTGACTCTGCAACGATTCGTCCATATTCTGGGCCGACTATCAGATGCAGGAGAGGTTGGTAAGGTGTTAGGACTATCTTGCTGACTAGCCTCTGTCATTAACAGTATGAATTCATCCAGATGTATTTTAAGAAGCATGCTTAGGGCATATTCTCTTCTGTCGAATGAGGTGTAGCTTCTGAATTGATTGATATAGCAAACCCATCTGTCATCGCCTACGACCACTTCATGGCAGACATGGCCATATCTTTTTACAACCATTGCAGGTGTCTAAGAGGTTTTATTGTTCCCATAATCCTTTGCCAACACCTGTCCAATGTCGTGGTATAGAGCGCTATCTTCGGTTGTACTGATGCGCCATTATCTAATTTCTTTCGAAGTTGTCTTTCCAGCGGCCTCAGTTGATCAAATTTCGTTCGACGCCTTCTGAGCAGAAGCGATTCTGCTGGGGACTTTCCGTCAGGTGTCTGTGGACTAGGCGTAATTCTTTATCTTAGCAGAAAAGTCTGTAAGACCTCTTGAATTGGCCCGTCGCTTTAAGCCGAGCCACAAATCGTTCAGCTTACGCATTTGACTGTGGATGATAAGGAGGTAAGCACAGTGCTCCATACCGTTTAACGCATATTCAGCAGTGTGGAGAGGTAAACTGAGGCCCGTTGTCGGATACTGCTGTATCCGGTAATCGGAACTGACTAAATACTTCCCTTAACGTTGTAATCATGGCCGATGTTGGTGTTCGACATTAGAAAGGTCTCGTGCTATTTTCTGTATGATAAGCAAGATAGGTGAGTAAGAACTTCTGTCCTTTGATTGGCCATACGAAATCAAGACGAACCCTTGACCATGCTTTCGTTGGCGTCGGCTAGGAGAACCATTCGCATTTCCGCGGCGATTTTGCTGCTACGGCACACTTAGAACACGAACGTGTTAACTAATCAATTTGCGAATCCATAAATAGCCAGTACACATAACCTCTCACTAGAGCCTTCATCCTGTTGGAGCCAAGAAATCCAGTAAGAAATGGATGTAGGATTAAACTCTGGCTGGCATGACGATGCGTTCCCCAAACAGGATAGTCTTGGACAACCAATAAGGAATTTCGTCTTTGGAAATATTGTTGTAGCTGTGCTTACGAAAATTTTCTTGGTCGTTGTGAATGGTAAAACAATTTCACCTTTGACTGCAATGGGTCCCGTAAGGTGGCGTCTCGTACCAAATTGCAAGATATTGATAGCTGGCTCGCAGTATCCAAGAACACATCGTTGACTTTCGTTTCGTGGATATAGTAGCAATGACAGCGTCTTCTGGTTGGTGCTGTTCGTCCGACAGTCGTGACAGTGCATTGGCCTGACAAAGATTGATGTTAAAATCATACTCTAGCAAGGTTGTCGCCCATCTCTGTAGACGATTGGCCGTAAATACCGGATTTCCTTTCTTCGTACCGAATATTGCAAAAGCGCTTTGTGGTCCGTTAGTAAGGTGAAGTGACGGCCATATAGTATTTTGTGGAAAGGCTTCACTGCAAACACATTAGCGAGAGCCTCCTTCTCAACTTGGCTATAATTACTTTCTACTGCTGTCAGCAAATGAGTGACATGAGCTACTGGCTTCTTATACCCGTCTGAGAAATTTTGGGAGACTGCGCCAACTCCGTACCTGGCTGCATCCGATCCTCAGGTGGCTGGGCCACGTGCTGCGCATGCTGTCCCACCGGCTCCAGCGATTTGCGTTGTTTGCGCACCGGGGGTGTAGATGGAAGAAAAGGAGGGGTGACTGTGCGATGACTTTGTCAAGAGGAATGAAACCCCCTTGTTCGAAATTGTCCTCGGCGCGTTTCGGCTCCCTGGTTGGGGTCCGAAAGACGATGAACACGTTGGGCTGGATACATCTGCTGACATGACTAGGAGCCGACCTCAGTGGCGTTTGTGATGTGAGTTTCTTTGTCTCTTCTCCTCCCGCTTAGCCTCGCCCTCCAAGCACGATTTCATTTCGTAGCACAGATTTGGCATAATATTATTTTTTGCGATACAATACGGGCTGGTAACTTTCCGGAATGATGCTCATCCGTTGCTGGTGACTCAGCTGACGTCCCTCGGTTGTAATTTTTTCTTCTTTTCTTATATATTGCGGCACAATAGCTGAAGTGTTTTCCACCTCTAGCTAACGTGTATGATGAATGAATGATGCCACGACGATCAGCAGCTTTGGATTGTAGTGCATTAGCACCAGTTCTGAACTTAATGACGACTTGATCCTGTCAAAAGTTTCCTGACATTCGGTGGCCCAGACCCACTTAACATCCTTTATCAGCACTCGTCTTAACGGTCCGCGTCGGTCGTGCATGGACGGTAGGTATGTACTGTAGTAACTCGCCATATCCAAGATTGATCTCAACATCGCTACGTCTTTAGGTGGGGGCATATCCTTGATCGCGTTAATGTTTAATGGATCAGGTCGTCGTCCATTTTGGTCAATCGTACAGCCGAGGTAAGTCATGAAAAACTCACACTTATCCATTCTTAGACGAAATCCATACTCCTTTAGCATGTCAAGCACGTGTTCTGCTCGTTGGTGCAGTTGTTCCTAGTTAGGCCACTTGCTAATCACATCGTCAAAGTGTGTAACAGCATTGTAGCATCATATTCATGATCTGAAGAAAGATTGCCGCGGCCGACTTAACACCAATTGGTAGGTGTGTATACTGAAAAGTCCTCTGTGTTAGTCGTTAGCAATTCCCTTGATTCCTCCGACAATCTGGAGATATGCATCAGACAAGTCCAATTTGACTCCGGAACGATGCCCATCCGTTATTGATGGCTCGGCTGGTGTCCCTCTGTCGCGTGTATTTCCCATTTTCTTGTGAATTGCGGCACAATAGCTGAAGCAGTTCCACCTCTAGCTGACGTGTATAATGACGAATGATGGTACTCAGGCTTAAATTCTCTGGATATTTTTGAAATTTTCTTTCTTGACCATTCGTGATTCCTGGTATTGTTGTGACGCCAATATGAAAGGGCTTTAACGCATGTTAGTCTGCTGTATTTCGCAAACGTCTTAGATGCGGTGTATGAAGGCGGGCAATGTCTCCACCACGGGTGTAGTGTACTATCTTGGAGTGTGGCACTGAACTGACGCTAGTTCAGCAACTTAAGGACAGGGTTATGCGGTCAGGTAATTTTGTGCTTACTCTTTCTCTTGCTCGTGTCGATCAAGATATATCGGAAAAACCACCAGGAGACTGGCTGAGAGAGACCGAGAGCATTGTCCAGCTTTGTTGCATAGCGGAGTGACTAGAACCGTGGCGTGCACCATGTCTGCATATTTTATTGCGTCGAATCATACAAGACATTCCATCCCATCTACCGCGTACCCAGACACCATACGCAAGCGGTCAGAAGTCGTTTACTAGAAGCGGCCGAAGCGATTGCCATTCGGCTTCATGACCTTAACTTATGTACACATAGGAAATTTGTCCGGAAACAGTCTATCCTGACCCCCTATCATACTGACGCATGGTGTAGACACCACCACACATTATTATTAATATTCTTACTCACGCCTTGTAGTCTGGTCACCGTTTCAAACCCTCGTAGGTACAGGCGATCTCGCGGTATGCCCAGCCCATGTACGAACCGTGTTGGTTGCGTGGCAACGGAGCGTCTGTACGGTTTGCTGGTTTACCGCCGTTGATTTTATTATTATTATTATTACTATTATCATTCCTATGTCAGTCCGCACCAAGGAAACTGTATCCAGCTCACCGTGTACAGATCATGGTTAGTAAACTGGACTGAACTGATTTCCTCGGATTTTTACTGTTTGCTTTTTGACCGTTTTTGTTTCTTTGCTTTGAATTGCATGTGATCACTTCATAAGATGTATTGCTTCTTGCGTTTTTCCTTTGATCCTTGGTTTTTGTCGCTACAGCCCAGTCATGAGCGAAACTGAGGCGGAGTTGAAAGAATTACTAATCCGCTCTTTGAGTGAGAATGGGATTATATCTCGGTTGCAAGTAAGAGAAAGTTCTCTTAACCTTCTCCGATAGGCACAGCTGAGGGCTGCTGTATTTCTTGCTCTTGAAAAACACAATTACAACGAACGAATGCCTCCCGCAAACGAGTTTATTCGCTCGCTTCGCAACAGTGAAGATGGTAGTGTTTCCCTACGCGGTGCATCACCTCTTTAGCAAGGCCTCGTAGTTCTTTCCTTATTTGCTGAATTTCTACGATATGCTCAACTGGAGAGTACTCTGGAAGTATTCACTCACGAGGCTGAATTGGTACATTAATTAGCTTATTGCCTTATTTTTTAGGGTAAGCTTTCCATCCTTGATCGGGATGACTTGATCAAGTTGTTGGACCTGAACTCAAAACCTGATTCCGCATTGCTATCGACTTTACTATCAACTCATCGGAACATGCACTCAGCACTCCAAACAGATGCAGGTCTGTTTTTATGGATATAAGCTGTGGGTATTAAATTTTCGCCTTCTCGAATTTTGTAATTTTCCCGCCTTTCTCTAACTCGTTGGCATTCGTTCTTGGGGGGAGATGGGTCTTTTGTTATTATGCTCCCTACAAGACTATCGTTCCTCTACAATCAGCTAGATCCACATAGATCAGCCGCAGCAGCCACTTATTTTTTCAGGTGGTGCCATACGACGCTGAAGTCAACGTCGCCAAGGCGGGTAGCCATCGCCTTCTTCGATTCGCTCCTTAGCTCAGCATTGCTTTGAAAAGGAACGTCGGATCTGCGCCGGTTCATGGCAGAGGGACAATACACGGGTTTGGAATAATATCTGTACAACTTGCTCCACACTAATCTGTGACCAGTTCCACACTCAGCTCTACTCATTACTCACGCTACTCTCTCTACTCAATACTCTCTCTACTCTACTCATTACTCATCATGCGCACCATGACAGTCGGGCAGTTGAGCTTGACTACTCCGTGGATGCGTCCAAGTAGCAAAGTCACTCGCACTCAGTGCAGACGGTGCTGCAATACTGTCGCTCACCGAATCAACTGAGCCAGCGTGGGGATTTGATACCACACTTTTCACTTTGGAAGAAATTAGACGTGAGCTTTCCGTGGCGAAACCAAACAATGGTCTTGGACCCGACGACCATCTGCCATCTTTGCTGAACGATTGGGGTGATTCTTTGACTGGACTTGCTTCCCTATTTATGTTATTTGGGACACTGAAGAATTGTCTTCAGACTGGCGGCTATCAATTGTTATGTCTATCTTCAAAAAGAGTTAGCGTACTCTGTTACGGCTCGCCTGCATACTGTCCGATCACTCGCGGCGAAGCGCAAAAGATCGAACGAGTGCAACATGTCGCCACCAAGTTGATCCCCAGCTTGAGAGGCTTATCGTATGAAAACCGGTGCATGAAACTTGGGCTCTACACCTTGTCATATCGCCGTGTTCGAGTGGATCTTATCATGACCTACCGTATTTTACATCTCGGTCATTTCCCCATGCTAAGGTCGTTACTCCACTTGCGAGTACCATGCACCACACGTGGGCACAGGTACAAACTCGTGGTACCTGATCTGAAGAAAATCCCACACCCCCTGTGTTTCGAGCGGAGGGTTGTGCACGCCTGGAACAGTCTGCCAGAACACGTCGTCGAGCCGAATCTGTGCAAAAGCGATAATCATCGAGGCATCAGCCTTCTTTCCATTGCCCCCAAACTTCTCACGGGTATTATCCTTCGATGACTTGTCTCCGCGAGAACCAAATTACTGAAAGCCAGGCTGCCTTCCGCCATGGTCGTGGTTGCATTGATCACATATTTAGTTTTCGCCAAGTGTTAGTGCGGAATCACACATATCGATGACCCACAAGGGTGATATTCCTTGACTTGAAAGCTGCCTTCGACTCTGTTCACCACGCCTACTTGTGGCACTGCCTATCGATTAAGGGCGTGCCGGCTACATTCCTTTCCATTCTTAAATCTCTACTGTGTTTCCGAGGCTGTGTAAGGGTCTACTGGAAACTGTCTCCTGAGTTCCCCACGATAAGTGGGGTTTGCCAGAGTTGTCCTATATCTCCTTTTCTCTCCTTGTAATGGAAATGGTCATGAATGACTCGGTTCTTACACTATTTTAGAGTGGAAGTTCTGCCAGGCGACCGACTGACAAACCTGGAGTATGCGGACGACATAACTTTTATTGGGTCTGACGCAGTGGTTATACAGACTGCTGAATAGACTGACGCGTAGCACTACACGCTTCGGCATGTGCTTTGCACCTTCAAAGGGCAACATACTGTTGCAGGGCTGAACCGACGCACCTCCGTTTGTAGCTACCACCGAAAAGCAGCGAAGTGGTGGATCAGTATACCTACTTTTATATCTGTCACCTCTGGTGGTCACATCACTGAGCAAATTACTTCTCGTATCAGTAAGGCGTGTGCCTTTCCAGAGGCTGAACCATCTATAGAGACGGCGGGGTATCATGCTGTCAGTGAAAGATAGGGCTTATAACACTGCGATAAATCCAGTGTTACTGTATGGATCAGAGACCTGGCCAGTACGCGACGAGGACATTGAATGCTTGGCCGTGTTTGGCCACTGGTACTTGCGAAGTTTTGTTCGCGTCTGGTGGGAACACCAAATGAACAATGCTATGGTCCGCCAGTTGGTTTTTGGCGAGAAGCCTTCTGGTGCCTCACTGGAGTGTTTGCTGATTCTTGCTCGCTTACGTTGTCTAGGCCATGTACTCCGTATACCCGTTTATCGGCTTCCTCGACATGCATTATACGCCGTGGCTGCACCAAGCTGGGTGAAACCGTGAGGTGGCCAGTTTTTGACTTGGCATAGTAGCATGAAGACATTGACTTCGAGACTTGGTCAGGCTGGTGCGTGCGGTCTTCGTGGATAAAGGCCTCGGAATGGTCCAATAGTTGGACGCAGTAACAAACATAGCGCACTCGCGTAGTCAGTGGCGTTAATGCTCTGGTTTCTGACATCTGGTGTTTAATTTTCATTTTATTTCGATTACTCCAACGCGCCCGCTTTTTGCCTTCAGCTTCTCTACGTGGCGATTTCAGGGTAGTTAGCAAACAAGCTAATCCCCGCTTACTACAGTTTGCGGAGGCGGTAGCAATTCGGCGGCTGAAGCCAAATCTGTGCAAACAAACGGATTTCGTGACCACGCTAGCCCTTCCCTGGTAAGGCTAGTGATTGCGTTTTCCTCGGAACGAGTCACGTGAGCCTAAGGGCCTTCGACCGCTTTGAATATTTTGCTGTTAACATCGCACTGTTTTCTACTAACTGTATGTAAACAGCTGATGAGAATACGCGAAATTGCTGCATTCAGTAAATTCTGTTAAAATATCGTTTCTTGCTTTATTGAAACTCGTGAAGGGAAATGCCTACATGAAATCTCTACGTTCTATTAGTACTCAACTCCACTATCTTGCCGTTGTTATTTATTGTTGTCCTTGCAGTATGTGTCGTGGCAACTGAATCCACCGCACATCGGTGCTCGGATCATAGTTGTTCTATAAATAAAGAAAATATAAAATGTATGCTTCTCGTGCAGCTTGGATTGGTCATCCAGCCGCCTCAGCCTTAGTTTGGCTATACCGCTACCGTTGCGGACGAGGACCATAGCGACCGGTACAGTGCGCAGCTCTTGGGGTTCATTCGTATTCCGGTCCAGTAATTTGTGCACGTTCTATCATCCTATGTTGATCGCTATCTGCGGAGGCATACGTTTTCACCGAACACTCACCGTGATGGGGGCTGGGTCAGATTAAATTGGGACTGGGAGATAAGAGTGTGGAGAGGAAGGGGAGGAAGAAGTCATGGATGTGCCTGGGGTATCATGTTTTCCCTTATACCCTACGCTCTATTCAGCACATAAAGTGAGCCTCTTCTCACGCAGCACAGGGGCTGTCGCGGCGTGAAATCCTTTGTAGTTATGTTTGTCATGTTTGTATTTGGACTGGTGGATGCTAGGGCGTCCACACCTGAACAAGAGAACGGCTCAGGTCCTCAGCCAAAACTTTCTATTACATGTACTCCGGAAAGGCAGCGGGAACTACGCCGTGAGTCAATCGACTCATACAGATGTCTTGGCTCTTAACTAGAAGAAAACTGTTACCCGGCTTCCATTTAGTGTCTGTCATATCCAGTCTATATGTTTGCTTTTTCAGTGACTCTCACTTAACTGGCTTTCTGAGAGTGGCTTGTGTCTCTTCTATTTGGCGGTACCAAGTGGCCGTGTGTATCGTTAAGACGTATTCTCACAGGCCTGTGTTTATGTGTCGTCACGATAGCCTTTATTCTTTCTTCACCAGATGCGCCGGTGAAACTCAACTCATTGGACGGCATACAGCCAACCAGGTCAGTTCTTTGTACCATGATCTTCACCAACTTTGTTGTCTGTTTATCTTCACCTAATAATTTTCATGTTACTACTAACGATTTACCTTTTAGGTTAAGTCGAATACCCGTTTTACGAAACCGAAGATTCAGTGCTCCTATGAGGTATAAATCGCGCTTTAGCTTGACGCGGTTGCGCCCTTTTGCATGCCCCTGCCCTCGGGTTGTTGTCTTCTAACCTCTTGGGCCTCCGCTTTTTTCCGGTTATCAACAGTGTTCCGTGTTGGTGTATTTTCTTTCTGTCTCGACCTTTAGAAGTATTGTCGGAAATTCATGCTTTAATTTTCTACTTGAACCACTCACGCCTTCGTCATCCTTCTCTTTTCTCTATAGTGTACTTCGTACTACACCAATTCCGCAGCATCGATGGTCCTCACTCACTAGCTTTTGCTCTGTCACAATTTTACCTTCTAGCCTCTTTTCTGTTAGTTCTCACCAGTCTGCATTGACCGGTTTCCACAATTTGCTCACAAGGAATAAATCCCGTCGTGATTCAATAGTTTTGCTGCGAAATTCCATACGCGGTGGCCAAATTGCGTTTCTTTTCCTGTCTGTCTCATTTAGGTTCAGTTTTTGCCTGTTAACTATGATTTCTGCGCCGAAATGCGGGGGATCCATTCATTTTGACTCACTCCTCCAAGGCAGTAATTATTAGGCTAGCATTAATTACGATTAAAGGTAATTTGGCAGAAAATATTGTTTTTAGGGGTTGTCAAGGGCCAGAAATTAGGGAATGAATATAAGAACACTACCAACTCTGTGACTGTGCCATGTTTGATGACGTATCCGACCAATCATTTGGTAAGTTCCTTCGGTCTCCCTCCGGGAAGACGACAAGCATGCATATGCCTCAGCCTCTCGGCGGGTTGTTATGCTCTTTGTTATCGTACTGAATGACCACTTTGAAGCTTCACCCAACCGCACGCATTATCGTTAGGCATTTCACGCGAAGAGAATCGGCTTGCGGATATGCGGGACGCATGACCGAATCACCGAAGGCTCTTCCAGTTCACTGTGCATTCTAATGAGGCACCGGATTGTCTTACCAAACGCCATCGAAATGTAGAAGTGGCAGGATCGACTCGAACCGAGGACCTTTAGGCTGTCAGTCGAAAAATCTTCCTCAAAGCCACCGAGTAGCGAAGGACAATGCTTGTCATGCTGTTCCATAACTGATTTGGGAGTCAGTTTTAGGCGCATTTTATGTGAGCGGATTGCGACACGTATTCTCGATCTGAATCGCGATTCACTCTGGAGTGATTTTTGGCCTATTCAGTTACTAGAGCCGCAACTGCAGCAGATGAACACACGCTGCTCAGTATCCCGGGTTTGAGTCGCAGCACTGCTATCCCCACACCTGGTGAGTGCAAAAGGGGTATGAAACCTCTCGTGCAGTACGGTGTTGAAAGCGGGCAACACAACATTAATTTGATTAGAATGCGGTCCCAGTGGTCTACTTGATCGAATTACTTTAAATTGCATTGCGGTCCAAATTCAGATGTCACGTCGCAATTCATCGACACAACGCGTACTTCAAAATGACCCGTCCAACCACTTAGATGTATATCTCTAGTACTCATATTCCTAGGTAGGTCTTACGAGCAATAAGACGATGCGTGAACTGATAAACAGAGACCACAGTGACACACACCTATACCGCATTCTTCACTCAGCTTTCCCGCCAGACAGCAATACTTCGTAGGTATCGATGATCAAACACACTGTCTTCTATCATCCTGTAACCGGTCCGCGGGCGTCACGGTAACACCTTAACAGCTAAGCGGTCGACGAGTTTTGCTTCCTGTTATCTCTACCCTCTTCTTCCTCTCCGACACTTCCTTCCCTCTTCTGTGCTCCCTTAGCTGCTTCCTCTTACGTCCCGCTGTCTACGAGTTATTTATTTTGCTTTGCAGCTTGGCGCACTATTTGGACACGGAAGAGCTTGGAACTCCGGACCGGAGGAATATCACAGTCCTCTGCACACAACCGTTAAATTCTTGGTGCACGCAATAACTGTGGTCGCACTATAACCGTCTCCATAATTTCTGATGGGTTGAAAGGTCACACTAGCCCTAACCATCCGTGCAGTAACCTTTTTGATGACGTTTGTACTAAAGGTGATCAGCTACCTAGCTAGGTAGACGATCGGGGTTCGCTACCTTGGAATACATTTGCCTGACAAAGCGTTTGTGCCAAAAGCGACACGTTGTCTAACCAATGCACTAGTCGGTCGTACACAAACCTTATTAAACGGTCGGCGATTTCCAGTGATAACCAGAATTTTTGGTGAATCGGTCCAGTCCTTCATGTGCAGAAGCATAGTGCGACTAAGCCACCTATTCCTTAGCGTTTCCATATCAGCTGGATCCGATTCAGGGAAATACGTTTGCGAACTCTGAATCTGACAGTTGGTTACCCTGCAAAACTCTATTCTTTTTCAACAACAACAACAACACTCATGTCAGTAGTTTGGAGTAGATTACGATGGGGATCACGCCACGATAAGTATTATCCCAGGTACTTCTCTGTACCTTTTAAAATACGGGAATAAAGATTGATAATCGCAATTCGGAGGGAATTCCTTGTGGCAAAGGTGCTAAGTCGCTGGTAAGTCACTATCTCTTCAACAACTATGGTGGAAAGTCATCCATGGCAGGCACCATTTTCCTCTCTGACAGCTCCACCTTTATCGGATTCTTTTCACTGTGGAAACTATTGTGCCACCTTTCAAGGTCTGTTCACATGGACCGACTATAAATCCCGCTACACCGTGGCGATTGAATCCGTTGTAACGAGACTGGACCTTAGTGTGGTGCGATGGTTTACATATCTCTTCGACCCAGTAATCTATACTGGGTGAGGCCCCCGAGCGCCTTAAAACCTACTACCAGGTTGGTCAATGGTTAGAGGTCAGACGAACTCCAGGTTGGACGTTGGGATTGATATGGCGTCCATTCCTATAAAGCAGGATTGCTACCATCCACCTGCAGCTTTGCGGACAGGTTGTAGAGTCAAAAACTGGTTGAGGACCCTTATCCCCTGTTTAGGTTACGGTACCTTGACTATACCGTAACCGGCTGGTTCTGAACACAATGTGACCAGACGGGCTATTAGGCGTGAACTAAAGCGGAGACTTCGTGCTGACAAGGAAGCCTGGTGGACCAGTCGGGCTCAAGAAATGGAGGAGGCAGGAGCAGTAGGCAATTACCGCAAGCTCTTCCAGCTAATCCGCATCACTGGTCCGAGAAAACCAGGCGTCAGTGAGACAATCAGAGACAGCGCGGGTGCGCTGATACACAATAAGGAGCGCCGTATGGCTCGTTGGGCTGAACACTTTGAAGATCAGTTCAGCTGCCCCCCCCCTGCTCCCGGACCTCTTCCTACTCAGGTGATGCAGGACGTGCCATGGACGGTTAGTTTAGAGCCTCCGTCTGAGGCCGAGGTCCGAAACGCGATCACAGCCCTCCATGGTTTTCGTGCCGCTGGTCCGGATTCCCTCCCACCCGCACTATTTAAGGATGGAGGTGAGGTCCTCTGCAGGGCACTGACCTCCCTATTCGAACGTATCTGGAACGAAGAGAGTATGCCGGCTAATTGGAGCGAATCGATTATAGTGGCAGTATACAAAAAGGGCAGTCGCACAGACTGTGCGAACCACAGGGGTATTAGCCTAACGCCAGTTGTGACAAAATTATTGGCCTCGACTATCGTTCGTCGCCTCACTGCAGAACGGGAATCTCGGATTAGGGAAGAGCAGGCCGGTTTTCGCCCAGGACTTGGCTGTATAGACCATGTATTCACTTTGCGGCAAGTGCTAGAGCAGCGCCACGCATACCGCGGACCGACAATGTAGCTGTTTTCCTCGATTTCAAGAGTGCGTTCGATTCGGTCGATCGATCGATTCTGTTCGAATTACTTGCGCGAAAAGGTGTTCCCATGAAATATGTGAACATCCTTCGTGCTCTATACTCGAACACTAGAGGCCGCGTCAGGGTCTATGGTACCCTATCGGATAGCTTTTCGACTACAAGTGGCGTTCGTCATGGTTGTCCGATTTCCCCGTTTTTGTTCAATTTCGTCGTGGATTCTGTCATGGAGTGTTCCCTGACGGAATCCAACGATGTAGGCGTTGAAGTGGTGCCTGGTGAAAGATTAGTTGACCTAGATTATGCGGACGATATCGTCTTGCTTTTCGACGATTTTGCGGCGGCCCAATCAACCCTGAATAGCCTCTCTGTAGTTGTCCCATTATTTGGTATGCACTTCGCACCTTCAAAGTACAAAGTGTTGCTGCAGGACCACCAGCGACTTGATGACCCCTTGACGCTTGCTAACGAGGAACTCGAGGTGGTTGATCATTTCACTTATCTTGGCAGCTGCATCAGCAATGATGGGCGCATAGAAACTGACGTGAGCTCACGCATTGCAAAAGCCAGAGCTGCCTTCTTGAACCTGCGGCATCTTTGGCGACAGAAGGGAGTTTCCCTCCGTCTGAAAGGCCGGGTATGCAAGGCCACAGTGAGGGCCGTTCTGCTCTATGGTAGTGAAACTTGGCCCCTTCGGTCTGAAGATCTGAGGCGCCTTCAAGTCTTTGATCATCGTTGTTTGCGAAGCATTGCTGGTGTCGGATGGCACCAGCGTATCCCCAACGATGATGTGCGTAGGCGAGTACTAGGTAGTGATAATCATGCTAGCACCCACCATTGTCTTGTTCCTCGATAATAAAGGTGCATTCGATTCGGTGGATAGACATGCACTGGGACTGTCTACTCAGGAAAGGTGTACCTGAGAAATATGTGAATATTATCCGAGCATTATATGCGCGTAGCTCGGGCAGAGTGAGGGCTTACGGCATGTTGTCGTCGCCCTTTAATATCTCCAGCGGCGTGAGACAAGGATGCCCGTTGTCACCTTTCCTCTTCAGCTTCGTTGTTGACGAAGTCATGGAAATCGCATTCACA